TGGCAGACCTGGAAGTGGACCAGAAGTGCTTCTGGTCCACTCCCTGGTCTGCTGCTGAGTGCCCTGGGCCCCACCCCCCTCCTGTGGGACATTCCATCTGCACCAGCATTGCAGCATTCACGAGCTGCCTGCTACCTAGAGGCAGGTAGAAAAAACATTTAAAGCTATGTCTATGTCCGAATTGCTGAATCTCTCCAAATTGATTTGGAGGGTTCCAATGTGATTTAGAGAGATTAAAGGGTCTCTTGACTCAATTCGGAGATTCGGCCACTGAATCAGGCCGAATCTGTTGAATCAAATCAGGGACTGAAGCTTTGCACAGCCCTAGTTACTATTACAACTACAGGACACAAAGGAAGTCAGTTTGTACTATACCATTGCCCACGTCTGTAGAAAGCACTGCATGAGAGATCTGTGCAGATAAAGCATAATGTCATACTTTCATAGGCCAGAATTTTAAAATTTATAATGTTAATTAGCAGTGGGCAATTGATGAAAGAATTAATATGGATATTCAAAAAGGCTTAGCTGGTAAAACAAATTTAACTGTTTTTAGCACTGGAGCCTTCTGGGCAATAGAAAGTATCTCTGGTCTTAATTTTAATGCATATATTGAATACTTCTTTTGCTTTGTTCTCCCAGTAATTCCATATAATCCTTCAAGTCATGAAAGTTTGGATCATGTTGGTGAAGAAAAAGAGGTAAATGTCTTATTATTCCAGTTTAAGAGATGATATGATTCCTGAATAGCTTCCTACCATCAGCATCTTTACAATTATAAATCCTAATGATTTGGAGATTGACACACATGTAAACTATACTGAAGCCATCAGCTCGTACAGTTTTCAAACTTATCCACTTGTGAGAATATATAGTTTGGAGTTGTACAGAATTCTAGGTGCAGTAAACATCTTTAAAACATCTCTAGTCTCTACTCTGTGGTAGTTTTAATATTAAAATACAAAGCAGTTTTGAGAAAAATAAAGGATAATTATTAATCGCTATTGCAGCAGAATAAATGTATAAACTGTGTGAGCCTCATTCTCGCAAACAACTGTGGTTAATAACGTAGTAGTAAGTTTGCTCAATTATTTTAATCTTTCTTAATAGGCAATGAGCATTAGAGAAAGTGGCAAAGCTTCCTCTAGTCTGGGCCTTCAGGATTTTGACCTGCTCCGGGTTATTGGAAGAGGCAGCTATGCTAAAGTACTTCTTGTTCGATTGAAGAAAACTGAACGTATTTATGCAATGAAAGTTGTGAAGAAAGAACTAGTCAATGATGATGAGGTAAGAAATGCTTGTAGGAGTGGAGCAGACAGCTTTCTTTGGAGAATTTGCATCTGGTGTTCATACATTAGGCTTGCAGTTTCACTGTATTCAGAGATTTGTCTAAATGCATGTTGGCCTTTTTTCAAATAAATAATATTGAAAGCTCATGGAACAGGCTACCACATTTAGATCTTTATTGGCACGTTTGTAACTGACTGAATTTCCAGGTTTGACTTTTATAATATGAGCTTCAGTTATTCCCTTGAAGGGGAATACTAAGAAGCCATGTCCTCTGACAGTTAGCCTCCCTTCGTAAACTTCAGCACTTGGCATGGTCATTTATTAGTTTGGAGTCCACATTGTCTGTGAATACAACAGAATTGCTTCTTAAGTTTCATTTAAAGGACCTATTAATTACAAATATGTGGGAGGGTGTAGGGCTTTGTAGGTATTGTTGAAAGCCTACCAGTCCCAACAGAATGCTTTATGGGTGATAGTTATATAGATAACTTGGCTTGATTTGCATTTTCTGTGCTGAGTTTGTGACACATGTAGTTAAGAAAAGCTTCTTGACTAAACTAAACTGAGAATTCTTAATATATCAAGTCACTTAGACCAAACAGGGAATACCACATTGCAAGTTTAATTGCTCTTCTGACTGGAGCTTCATTTCAATGTGGCTTAACAGTTGTGAAGTCTTTGATTATGACTTGAGTACCTACTTTAATATGAGGCACCCATTTTGACAAGTGTAAGGCGTGGACAAACATCCATTATTCCTTATGGTTTTACTTTAGTGTACATATTCATAATAAAGTTTCATTTTCCATGCTTTTCTTACCCATAAACTCTTTAAGTTCTACCCATTAATTCCTCAGCCCTTGTGTTACTTCACCTTCCTCTGCTCAGACTTTCAGTTTTTCTGAATGGGATGATCTTCCTTTATTAGTGTTCTGAAAATGCAGTCTTCATACATATGTACCATAATTAAAGTGAAAGAGTTGTAGACAACATTAGGTAGTCTCTTATTTTGGTAACTGAGTTGTCTAATGCAGAGTTAAACTGATCAAAGGAATTAACTGTGAGTTATCTAATAACTTTTCCTGAAGCTAAAGAGAAATGTAAATGTTTCTGTGTATATCTGATAATTCTAAGAAAAATATTTTCTGAGCTTGAAATTTTTTTTAAACAGGACATTGATTGGGTTCAGACAGAGAAACATGTTTTTGAACAGGCTTCTAATCATCCCTTCCTTGTTGGACTGCACTCTTGCTTCCAGACAGAAAGCAGGTACAAGTCAGACACTTACCACAAAAGATATTCTATTGTTATTCCAAAGTGTTACCCAAACTCCTGGGTATGAATCAACTGTTAAAAATAATGAGGAAGTGATTGTGCAAAATACAATGCTAAGATTACTGGCCCTGGACAAAGAAAGAGTAGTTGAGGAAAGACGAAAAGTTGAATTTTGAAACTCATTAAGATGCATGTGATTAGGTGTAGAAAAGTAGATATGGCAATTGAACATAACTGCAAAGGCATGCAGTATCTTCCGTGTGTGCAGGAGATGGAAGCATGCATACATTTGATAAAATGGTCACAGTAATAGTTAGAGAGTGAAAGGTTAATTAGTTTCTTTCCTCAGGAAAGGAAACCCCAGAAGAAATTTTGTATGCTGACTCTTTACATGGGGTTCCACTGTTTGAAGAGAGCACTGAAAGGAAATGGAAATGTGCCAATACTTTCATGGCATAGACCAGCCATATTATATAGGGGAGGGAAGGAGGCATCTTGCCAGATAGTGGTAATTCTGTTTTTTAAAGGGTCCAAAACCAGAACAACAATAAAGGCTGTATGCATAGCTAAAACAATCACTTATGTAATATACTTTTTGTGTTTCAGACTATTTTTTGTTATAGAATATGTCAATGGAGGAGACTTAATGTTTCATATGCAGCGGCAGAGGAAATTGCCAGAGGAGCATGCCAGGTATGTTTTAATTTAGGATAATTTTTCCCCACAAGAAATTGGGTTTTCTGATGTGATGTTTCAGTTCTAAACCTATGCTGGTCAGCCACAAGAAGGCCCCAAGAGGTACAGGCCCAGACAGGCAGGGCCATTTCATGCTGGTTGGAGCAGCAGCATGGGCACCTTCAGCTCCTCAGTGTGTTGTATACATGATATCATCAAGTCTTGGTGGTGTATATGGCCTTCCATCACAGAGTCTGCAACTACATTCTACCTTCTGTCCCATGATCATATGGCCAGGCAAGGTGGTATGTGGGGGCAGGAACAAGCAAGCATTGGAGGACATGATCTGGCCTATTTAATGAAAGGCCATCAAAAGTACTTGTTTTCCAAAGCTAAATGGAAGCCCCAATAGATATGATTTGCTGAACACAAGGATGAGTCATATTGAAGTCCTAGAGAAATGGATAGGGACAGTCAGCTACTTGAGAGCAGGAGAAGCCTGTACTTCCTAAGGGTGGAAAAGCTTGGGTTGAACATACCCTGCATCTGAAGTTTGCATTTAGTTCCTAAGCAGACATGACCAAAGTGTGATGGCTTTTATGCAGCTATAAGTACAGCTTAAGGTTTGGTGGAGAGGCTAGAGACTAGATCTGTACTTGAATATAGTGGTCTGCAGTAGCATGCTTACAGAACTTGCAGTGCTTTAGTGAAAGAGCTGGTTTGTGCTGTTTGCTTGTATGGTGACTCCCATGAGCTGCCATGTAGCATGTGGCAGCCAACCTCACCACTAGTAGCTGAAGGAGGAGTCTAGTACAGCACTGAACCAGCATGAGTTAACACAAAATATTTACTCACTGGCTTCATCAGCATTTCTGATGCTAAGGGGTCCTATGAGAGAGCTTCTCAAGGAAGTGGGGAGAGGGGTCACTAACAGATAGTTTGAAGCAGTGTCAGTGCAGTCTGGGTGCCAATAGACTCAAGAGGCTTCAGGACTGTCCTCAAAGGTGAGAGAACAGTTTGGACTCTGTTCTGATCTGGTTGCTGCTCTGTGGCGATACTCTCTGGTCCTTGCTTAGGTTCCTGTGGCAGGGCCTGTTACACCTTAACCCCATCACCACCTTTTGTGGTGAGTTTAGGGACTTCCTTTTTACGTGATGGGCTGGAGTCCGTGTTGGCAGCAGCAGTTGGCAGACGCATAGCAAAAGTTCTTAAGCTGAGGACATGAAATATTTTAGGGGAAGGTCCTCTCCTGGAACAGTGAATTAGGCAAGAAATGGCTTTTTTACTGGCTCTACCCCTTTAAAATATAGCATACAATCATTTCCAGTCACTGTAAATTGGAGCAGTTGAGGGTGAAGATGTGGCCAGAGTGGAGAGTGCAAAGCAGGATGGGATATTAGTGAACTACTCCTCCAAACTGGAGGGGGTGGGGGGTGTAGACCAATATATCCTGTATATCTGGAATGCTCCCGAATCCTCCAAATCTAGGTACTAAGGATTATTTGGATAATTATCATATGGACAGCCAGAGGGATGAGTTATAAGAAACAGTCAGATAGCTTGCGATGGGCCTGAATGAATTCAAGTCAGCAGGGTCTGATGAGCTTCAGGGTACTGAAGGAACTGGTAGAATAGATCTTGGAGTCCTTGGCAATAATATTTACAAAGTTTTGGGAGATGGGCAAGGTACCAGAGGTCTGGAAAGGGCCAACATAGTGCCCCTCTTTAGAGAAGGCTTAAAGGGAGGACCCAGGGAACTACAGACCGGTTAGCCTCACCTCAATATCTGGGAAGTTCCTGGAGCATATTATAAGGAAGTCTGTGTGCAAGCATCTGGATGAGGAAAGGTTGATCACAAGCAGACAGCATGGGTTTACAAAGAGCAAATAATGCCAAACAAACAATCTCCTTCTTCAACAGAGTAACTACTTGAGTGGATGAAGGGAATTCAGTAGATATATTATATTCAGACTTGTCAAGGCTTTTGACAGAGTCCCACATGACCTTCTCATAAATAAATTGGAGACGTGGGATAGACAGAACTGCTATAAGGTGGATAGAAAATTGGCTCAATAACTGCAAGCAAAGGGTAATTATAAATGGATCCATGCCACAGTGGGAGGAGGTTTGAGGTGGAGTCCCAGAGGGATCTCTGCTGGGCCCAGTGCCTTTTAACATGTTTACTAATTATTTGGATGGTGAAATAAAGAGCTTCTTGAGCAGATTTGCAGAGGACACAAAACTGGGAAGGATGGTGAACACAGAGGACAGGAGTACAATGTAGAATGATTGTGATGAATTGGAAAGCTGGGCTAGAGCTAACAGGGTGAAATTTAATGCCAACATATACAAGGTCTTGCACCTTAAGAAGAATAATTGAAAACACAGATACAAAATGGATGACACCTGGGTGGATGGCAGCATGACAGGGAAAGATTTAGGAGTCTTGGTGGATCACAGACTCAAAATGCATATGCAGTGTGATGTAGCTGTACAAAAAGCAAATGTGATTTTTGGACTGGATCAGTACAAGCATTAAGTGCAAGACACGTGAGGTGATGGTGCCTCTTTACTTAGCACTGGTTAGGCCTCAGCTAGAGTACTGTGCATTTTTGGGCTCGTCATTTTAAAAAGAACACGGAAAATTTAGACAGGACCTAGAGGCAGGCAACAAAAATGATAAAAAGACTTAGAAGACAAGTCATATGGAGGGCAGTAGGAAATAGTTATTTTGAAGGAAATAGACATAAAGGAAATAGGCATGTTGAGCTTGCAGAAAAGGTGCTTAAGAGGGAACTTTATAGCAGTCTTCAAATATCTGAAAGGAAAACATTTTCTCTTACTACAGAGCAGAATGTGGAGCAGTGGCTATAAGCTGCAGCAAAGTAGGTTTAGAATGGATATCAGTAAAAACTTCTTCCCTCTTAGAACAGTGAGGCAGTGGAATAGACTGCCTAGGGAAGTTGTGGAATCTCATCACTGGAGGTGTTCAAGAAGAGATTGGAGAAGCATTGGTCAGTGGTGATCTAGGAATAGCTATGCCTATGCTATGCTATGGGTGTTTCCCACACTTTTGGGCTTCAGTGGTTGCTGCATGGGGCCAGGAAGAAATCTTTTTTTCCCCTTTCCTGTCACTGTATGTTTGTTAGGGGGGGCGTTTCACCTTTCTCAGAAGCATTGGGCGTTGGCTAGAGTCAAGGCTGGGGATTTTGACTGGGATATGCCAGTGCTTTGCCAGTGCTCCTGCTGGGGGTGTAAAGCTGGAGGTTGCTGGCTAAAGGGTCTTGCCTCACTGCTCAGGGTCAGATCAGTTGCCGTATTTGGGGTCAGGGTTAGATTGGTACAGACTGGGGTTTTGCCATACTCTGTAGGGGGGGCATGGTCTCTGGATCTCAAGTGTATTTTAACAACCCTCAGAGCAGCAGGATGTTGGTCACCATTGTCTTCCTCCTTCACTTGCATTCGCTTGAAGGTTGCTTTCTTGCTTCACTATGGATTATTCTGAAGTTGTGATTCGATTATGAAGTACTGAAGAGTATTTATCTAAAAGGCATCTTTCTTCATTTCTAGGTTTTATTCTGCAGAAATCAGCCTAGCATTGAACTATCTGCATGAAAGAGGGATAATCTACAGAGATTTGAAACTGGACAATGTATTACTGGATTCTGAGGGACACATTAAACTCACAGATTATGGCATGTGCAAGGTGAGGGGAAAATTAACTTCCAGACAAATACAATGCAACAGTTTCAGGTACCTTCTCTGTAATTTATGATAGTATCTTTCTAGCTGGATTTAAGTCTGTTCCATCAACTTGCATACAGCTCAGGTAGAACACAAGGATATATACAGTCTGCAGATGAAGAAAGCAGGACAAAATAGTATTCAAAGAAAGACTATGCACACACTTCAAATTAAGATTTCAATTGTGTATATAAAATATAAACAAGATAGTTCTCAGTGTGACAATTTATTAACTCTGGCATTTTTGTATAATCCCCTTGATACCAGTACTTCAACCCTATGCTGTTACATGATTTAAAAAAAACCCTTTTATTTGATGTTGTGCTGGTTGAATAATGGCAGGTTGTTTTTGTTTTGTTTTTTAAGTAAACTCTGAAGTGATCATTCCTATGTTCAGTGACATATAATATCCTGCTATTTTGATATGATCAACTTTGCTAAACCACCTCTGTAAATCAGGGTTTGAACTGGACATAGAGTGCCAATCTTGCATACTAAAATAAAAGGATTTATTTAAACTGAACTTTGAATTTTTTTCGTTCTAGTCTCCACCTCTGACCTTTGTTATTAGATCAGTTTTATGTTGACTGGATAATAGAAATATTCAGTAGTCTGAATTTCTTTGGACTTTGTCTTTGAGTGGTTTCAGCTTTTGTTATTAAATAAAACTAGGTTTGTACTGAAACTTCAGTTTTACCATAAACATTTTAAATCTATTTTGCTTTGTGTGTAATAGAATAGAATTGCAAATCATTATATCCTCGTCTCTTTTTCCTAATTTAAGATGACTCTGTAAAACACATTTTTTAACAAACATGCATTTAATATGCTGTTTTTGTAGCTTAAATTAAACATCTAAAAGGAGTAAAATAGCTTCATTCTTTAAGAATGCTTAAAACAGCATATTTAGACAGGTATAATGAAGATGCACAGCTTTTCTCAACACATCGTGCGCTCTACACTCTGCATAAATTTCATCTCTAAAGATAGCACTTTGCATACAGATTACATACAGATCTATTTAAGACTAACTAATGATTTATTTTTTACAGGGCTTTTTTTTAATGAAAACTGGTCACATCTACTTGTGCAATTAATGCAACTGAATATACTAATCCCAAAGTCACCATCTACCTGTGTATATAAGGGCAGTAATTTACTGTAGTGTAGGATAGTACCTGCGTCTGACAGGACTATCCTACACTAGAGTAAATTAATCTACCGTGCATTAATTACAGCGCATGTGTAGATGGTGACACTTTATTGTGCATTAAATTAATCTAATACACAGTAAAGTGCATGTGTAGATGTGCCCACAAACTACGGTAAGGAATTTTTGGTTAACTAAAACTCTTTTTTTCCCCTGACCCTTATTTTCTTTTCTAAAGGAAGGGTTAAGGCCTGGAGATACAACCAGCACTTTCTGTGGGACTCCCAACTACATTGCTCCTGAGATCTTGCGAGGAGAGGATTATGGTAATTTGACTTAACGCAATGCTATGTCATGAAGTACACTAGAGCTTGGTGCATTCATTGTTATTTGATAAATAAGCAAAGGAAATGGTTAAAATGAAACTACTGTAAGGTGGGTGTATAACTGACTGGATAATCAGGGATGGGGGAAGATGGAGTGGGGGTGAGACAGGAGAGTTGGTGACATGGGGCACTGAGTACTCCTGTTTCTTTAAAGGCAGTTCCCTCTCAAGCTGCCTGCTGCTGCCTCAACCCTCCCTGCTCTCTTGCGGTGACCCTCAGAAAGCGGATACCCCATGCGAGGGGGTAGCGGGAGGGGGAATGAGAGCGCAGAGCGTGGAAGGCTGGGTATGCTGCAGAAGGGATGAGCAGCCTGTGCTGACCCACGGTCCTAAAAGATTGGTGATCCCTGCATTCAGGATCAAACTCCTTGACTTTCTACAACAATGAATTCCATAGTTTAAATACTTTTTTTCTACCAGGGTATAATTTAATAGCTTTTGAATTTTCTGCCTTTTTATTTTTAATTTAATTGAATATTTCCCTGTGGTGCTAGAGAGAAGCAGCACCTAATCCATAGCATTGGGTTTTCTTGTTATGTCTCAATTTCTCTTTTAAGGCAAGCAGCTCTATCCTTTCCTGTCTTTTAGGTAAATTTATCTTTTTGTCTTCCCTTCTGGTAAATCAGCTGTTTCTTCAGAATTAGGTCATTTGCTTTTTTTTTTCCTCCTTCTACCATTGCAGCTTTCTAACTTAAACACAAGTGTTACATCACATAAACTGTCAAGTAAACTGGTACTTAAGCAACTTAAAATGTTTCATTCATATAAATGAATGAAAAAATGTATGCCTGTTGTAATAACATACACCAAGTGTATAAAATTATATATATATATGGTAGATCTCTCATCCAGCACATCACTGTATGCTTGAGGACAGAGTAAATTTCCAGGTAGCTTGGCTATAGCTGTAGTTCACAATTAAATGTTTCAGTAATTCCTTCTTGATGAAATAGGTTTAGTACTGTTTGCTTTTAAATCCTAGGATTCAGCGTAGACTGGTGGGCACTGGGTGTACTTATGTTTGAAATGATGGCAGGAAGATCACCATTTGACATTGTTGGAAGCTC